TGTCAATCATAGTCATATTTTTTTTGGAAATACAAACGGAATTAATTGATGTTGAAGACATGCGGATCAACTAATGCGACTGAAGAGAGATACGATAATATTAAGACACTCTGGACAACACCCCTACATAAAGCATCTGATGGATATATACTCGTTATATACATCTTTATTAGGGTTAAGTGGACACTACAGATGTATCGTGTACTCGAATTTACATCTTCACTGACAATGATTCTCTCTTTCTTTCGTTACCTTACCGTGTTGGGAAATCAAACATTCCAATTATTTGTCAACTGTCACCACATTTCAGACTATCTGTCAATAGTCAACAGTCGTGTCACAACACTATTAAACACATTTGACAGAAAACCCCCTACTTGTATTTGAACGAATTTACATGAGTTTTAATTGCTATAATCCAGGTTAGGAATTATCAGATTTTCGTTTTAACCTTTAAAAATTCTACTAATCATCATTTCAGAATTCCAGACGTGAAATAGCTCAGTCTTTTTTGGTGTAAGTGCAGAGCCGTACATAATATGAATACGCCATCGTTCGCAGTACTATAGCACAGGTTTAACATTCGTACACATAATTTGTTTATGCTGATATTATCAAATATCGTCGTAAGGCTGAAAGATAAATGTCGTCACACTCTACGAGGCCAATAATATCTTCAATAAATATGGCAACAGACAGGATAGGTAATTAATTATTCAGTGGCAAAAGTACAAAGAAAAATTACGTGTAAGAGGAGAGTTTTATAAATTGGGTAAGAGGACAGGCAGGGTTTCACACATTGTGTATGAAGAGAGGCAGGGTTTCACACATTGGGTAAGAAGGGGAGTGTTTACACATTGGGTAAGAAGGGGGAGTTTTTCACACATTGGGTAAGGGGAGAGACAGGGTTTCACACATTGTGTATGATGAGAAGCAGGGTTCCACACATTGCGTAAGAAGGGAGGGGGGGTTCACATATTGGGTAGGAGGAGAGGTTTGGTTTCACAAATTGGGTAAGAGGGGGGTCACACATTGGGTAAGAAGGGAGGAGGGTTTCACCTATTGAATAAGAAGGGAGGAGGCTTTCACACATCGGGTAGAAAGGATGGAGGGTTTCACATATTGGGTAAGAAGGGGGAAGGGTTACACACATTGTGTAAGGAGGTTTTTCACACATTGGGTAAGAGAAGAGGCTTGGTTTCACAAATAGGGTAAGAAGGATTCACACATTGGGTAAGAGGAGAGACCAGCCTTTAAACATTGTAAACGTTTGTTTATATGGAACTTCACTGTGAGATTCATGTCATAAATATGACAAGACCTTATTATCACTATGGCAATCTGTGAGTTGCAGTTATACAGTAATCACATTGCAGTATATCTATACTATTTTATAGTCCCAAAGAAAATTATTTGCCGATAACATTTTAATTTTCCCCTTTCCCATTCATCAAAATTTATAGGTCGCTTAAATTTAATACTCAGAAACGAAATAGTGGTCGTAATATGATATAACTTTATTTCGTACTGTGTTCTCGAACAGAACACTAAATTAAATATAGACATATACGAAATGAACAAGCTATACTTATAGCAATGTATCATATATGTTATTAACGTCCAGCTCATTCATTCACACAAAGAATTTTTGACTATACGTGCATTACATATAAATGAATGAAAGTATAATGTTTTATGAGGCTTATTCAAGTCGATGTACAAAATATTTGGCATCGAATATAGATAATTTAAGAATTTCTCCCCGTATGTTTAAAACTACGTAATTAATGTAAGATTGATAATTAGGTCAGCACTGTCAAGACAACGTTTGCTAACTAGTCTTATCATATTGCGGCGAATAAGCATTGACTTTTGACATTTGATTTGTCTACATTTACATTTAGCTTCAAAGAATCACGTGTGTGCATGGGTAATTGGGTGGTAAAATCTCGTACATTGGACTACCATCCAAGATAACGCACACTTTCTTCGTGTAGCGATAGGATTAGAAATCCATATTAAGTAACATATCGAATATACCTCGATCGTGTGATGTGGCACCACCACATTGTGATGTTTCGTATTAATATTTTTGTATACACATTTACCGGAATCGTTATCTGTACTTTATCTGCAAATAGATCTTTATTTCCTGAACAGAAGGATTATAATTCTCCCTTTGCGTGCCTTCAGAAGTTACGCCTGCGCCCCAACCTACATTTTGCATTGGTCTGGTCGTAATAACTTGTGTCTGCTAATTTATATATATATATATAAGAAAACATAGTGAGTTTATTGTTTCTGAATATCGCCTTGAGATTGTTACATATCTATCTGAATCAACAAAAACTAGTGTAATAATTTGATGTGCTGGTTTTGAACATCGCATTGCGTACCGAAGCTTTGTGATAGAACATCCACCTGCACGGCGTTGGACAATCATGAATGTGTTATCAACGTGTTTTTGCCAGTAGAAGTCCTACGCAGGCAGTTCACATGGCGTTGTGTGTGCATTTTAATGTACTAAAGTAATGCACTTAAACGAGACGCAGGTCCCACGAGCTGCTAACGAGACGGCACTACTATTACTAACAAAGTGAAAACGAAACCTGTTAATAGATGGGGGTGTCATTACAACGTATCTATGGTGAGTTCAATGCACACGTAAAAGCTTTCTTTCACATACAAGCAGCTGTTCCCAATAAGTGACGTAATGGCCCGTTGATTGGCATGTCAGTTTCGTTTATCAACCAGTACCGCATTGCCATTGTTTATTGAATATTGTATAGTTCGTACACCTGAAATCCAATACCAGGTTTTGGTTTTAGGTTTTGATTTATTAGATTCATATGAAATGCAATAACATATCTTAAAAAAAAATCACAAAGAACGTGACAAGGGATATGTGATGTATTGTTCTATATAAATGAAAAGAAACACATAGTTCTACAATCAGTCTTGAAAAATGACAACGGGCCGGGGCTACATGTACGGAAATGTTCATTTCATTTTAATTTAACTAATATCATATCTTTAGAACTGATAAATGAGACTGGAATATAGTAATCCATTTCAGATTTTTAATTGCATAATGTCACATTGCGATCCCTTGTTAGTGATTTTGTCACTGTCAGCACGCTTCGTACTGGGTCAAATTTGATTTCCTTCAGGAGGCTAATTAAAAAAAGTAACAGACAGATATCAGATATGTTCAACTGAAATTGAAGTTGATAGAACAGCACCTCCTGGATATTACAGACTACAATAAATTTGGTCTCGTCAGTAACGTACTTACATACCACTAAAATATATATTCATTCAACAGTGGAGCGTAAGTTTAACAAAATACACCGTTTTGTTTTAGCGGAGTTGCCACGAAATAAGAAGATACACATAGACATGCTGTAATTTCCTTGACCTGTGCACATTTGTACAGATCAATTAGTTTCCGAAAGATTCAACAAGAAGTAATTTAAATGTAAAAGGGTCAATGACATCACTTCACTGTAATTTGGTGGAACTATAGCACCGATTACCTACATAAATCTTAGCAAGAGCAATGTTCGTCAAACAAAAGATTATTCACTTATTGCGAACACGCCACTCGTCAATTGAATGTCAGACACCATTTATCAAATCATTCAACCGAGATGTGTCTGCAGTGTAGGAATAAAATAATATTTATGAAAACGAAATACATATTACAGTCATCTTGTATGAACAAGCATGGCACCAAACATTGCGACACATTTGAATTATAAAAGTCGTACTTTGATAAATAATTAAAGTAACACAATATTTTAGCATGTAACAGTATACCTAAGGGGAGAATACAATATTATCATTCCTCTCATCACTCAACTGGCATGCCGCACTTTACACATTCTGAATAAAATGGACCTCATTTATTATTTTATATGATATCAACATTATTAATTCAAACACAACACACTGAGTTTAGTTTTGTAACAGAAGTCGACGTGAAACACATTTTAAAATGAGCAACGCTGTGTTTCTTATTTACACTATTTCATCAGTCGATATTATCACGATACGATTTTTAAAATTTATTATGATGGAATATTTATAATTATTAAATAAATATAATCCCATTGTAAGAACGAAAACTATTAATTTAGTATAAAATTATCATGTTTTAGATAACAAGCTAGACAGTGTATGCGAGACAACATTAAACAGGGTTCGTTCGATCACGTCTTCAACCACACTTTGGTTTTCAGCGTGATTTGGTCCAGGGAAATTGAAAGAAGACATGTTAGGTTAGCCTGACACTCTTGAATATAAACTGCGCCGTGTTAAGTAGGTAATTGTATACATATATGAAATATGTTTAAAATAACGAGTCTCTGAAGAAAAAAAAACCGTTGTAACTTGTCATTGAAGTTAAATTGAACTGTATAAAGCCACGGATGTCGGTTGTTGTACCAGTAAATAAATGAAACGTTTCCAATTTTATTGAAAACTTTTATTTGTAATCGGGGTCAGACTGTGTTCAGAAACATTGAAAGTGGTGTATTCACGCAATAACAGGCAATTCTTCGTGCGTGGAAAATGCTTTCAATTCACTTCTCAGGCATAAGTAATTCTTGCGTTTTTTTGTGTCATTTTCCCCATTTATGTGTGACATTATTCCGACCTTCCTCAGTGATTGCTATAGTTAATCTCTTTTAAGTTATTTAACAGAATAATATATAATTCAGTGATTAAAAAAAACACGCCGCGATCGTACTATAGGAATTGACAGATAGTCCTTTGATGGAATGATTTTTTATTTATGGATTGACATTAGCGAAACATCATAAATCGACTATGGTTGAGAAAACTTAATGATGATGGATGCGTTTCAGTCAGTAGGTGTGAGGAACTTAATGTTGAATGTGCACAGTATAGTGGTTTTATCTCCATAAATTTACTAAATATTCTTTTATTTTATTTCAGAATACAGCACGAGAAATAACGCTAATACAGTAGCAGAAACGATGGCGTCGTCGGCGACGGTAAATGAAACGATGTCACCGAATATATCAACGAATTCCCCTGTATGTCACTTCGCTGACGACGACGTACTCTTTATATTTTATACAGTCTCGTATACTGTAGCTCTATTGGGGAATTTGGCATTTCTGTCCGTAGTCATCAAGGTGAAATCCATGAGAACTATGCCGAATTTCTTTTTCATCAATTTATCCATGGCGGACACCTTGTTCATGACCTATTATGTACTGCATCTTATGTCGCAAAGACTGAACATTCAGCCACTGAAAGAAATTCATTACAAAGGCGGACACTCCATCACCGACGTGGCGTTCTGCGTCTCTATGCTCACCGTGGCACTGGCCAGTCTGAACCGCTACATCGCCATCTGCCATCCATTCAAAGCGGAGAGGTTACGACTGCAGAGCATCTCCCGGATCGTCGTGTCCATTGCATTCTGCTGGCTATACGGAATTGCCGTCGGGGTGTTTGATGTCTTGATATATACGTACAGCAGCAGTATACAGTTGAAGCTCTTCTCCATTTTACTGATTCTGCTCTCTGTCTCGATAGTAGCGTCGATCTGCATCGTGTTGATGTCGTACATTTTGATCGCTAGACGTATGATTGTTTCCAAACCGTCATATATACCAACAACTGTCCACATCCACACGTCGTGCATATCCGAAGAGAGTCAGGTGCTCCTCCTCTGTGCTTCAATAACCGTTGTATTCTTCATCAGTTGTTTCCCCTTAGCAACCCTTTACATTGTAACGACAATCACACAGGTTCTTGGATTCGTACCATTACCAAGAAAGAAGATTGCCTGTCTCGCGTTCGTGGCAAAACTAATGGTACCACTACACTTCGCCCTGAACCCCATTCTCTACAACATAGGTAGTAAAAACCATAGAACAGCTTTCCGCAAAGTGTGGTCACCAAGATCGGCACGAGAGCAGTCACAGGTGGCGCAGGACGTGTAGCTATTTTTGGACAGCACCTCACTAGAATGTAGAAAAATATATTTGTTGGCATATGCAATGAGAAAATCTTCATACAAGAAAACGCAGAAATTACATACTGATAACAGTGTTTGTTACTGGAGTTTTAGTATTCATTCATAGTTCACAATGTCACCATTATTGAATACGTTTGTTGACAAAAACAATTTAATAATAATGATACAACTAAAAGGAGGTGAAATTAGTTTAATATATAGTAATAATCATATCAAAATGTTTATCGGGAGTTGGAATGCGTAAAGAAGTAAATACACAACGATTTAAATTCAAGCCATGTTGTTTCAACTGATATTAACTGTTAGATATGATTGTTTAAATGTTTATTATATTTATTAAAAGTAATAGTATATCAATTATAACATTTTTTTTCAAATATTTCCAGATTTATTATTTATAATCCACTGAAATTGTCACCAAACATAATTTAATTTTACGAAGAATAAACGAGCATTTCAATACAGATATGACAACAGTGTTTTTACAAATTAAAGTATATGGTTGAATCCAATGAAGGATCGACAAGTTGAATGTTTTATTCTCAGAGAGTGAACGTGATCTTCCCCAGTAACAGCACGTGTTCATGCGAGTTTGTAACGCGACAACGTCCGAGGTCCACATGGGTATCAAAGGGCAAATACGCGTGTGGTTTGTTTCACAGCAAGTGATAAAAGAAACTATGCGTGAAATACATAAATCTCCCATGGTGCATCTCATATATGCGAGCCATTATAAACAGATATTACTATGTGTATACCATCCGTCTAGACATATAAACGCTGCTCTTTAAAAAATAGCTTTCAGAGTTCAATAATACACACATTTTTAAAATGTACATGAACCATAAGACACATACACAATGTAACATAACGATTCATTTACCAATCAGTGTGGATACAAGCTAAATAACAAACGCATACAAAATATCCCTGTCTTGCAACTCGGGGTTTTGAGGTCTTTTTATAGCGTCTGTGTTCTCATCCTTCGTTGCCAAAAAAGGAATGAAATTACCAAAACATATTTTAACTCAATCAGCACTGACATCGACAGAAAATTCCAATCAATGCTCATTTGTGATACGCACATCGGATCCGGGATGTATGTAGTTCAAGCGAACTTCTACAATTGTTTAATGGCGCATCAGCGTGATTGATACCGACGAAAATAGACATTGATACTAACTAAATTACCCTTCTGAATGAAACTGTATATCGTATGTATATAATAGAATGTATATACGAATGCGATCATTACATACTTCCCAGTATAGTGAATGTATTACTATAAACAATACATGTACCATTAATGTCGAATTTCATGTGCAGATACAAGTGCAGGCGACATATTTCATTTTCGTACTTCGTGGTCACACTAACTGAGACTAATTACTTAAAAATTTTACTTCCAGCAAAGTAGCATGTCATTATTTACCCCGAATGACCTACACCGAAATTTGAATCAGTTTAGGTTTAAAATATGACATATACTTATTGCAATATGGCAAACCTAATGACAGGTCAGAAAGAGGTCATGTTTAGGTATGGTAATCTAACTCAACTATTTGAATTATTTATTTATAACAAATCAAATTTAATCTAATCTAATCTAATGTATTTTAATCAAATCTAACCTAATTTAATCATACATTTATGTTTATAACTACGTGGTGTATATATCAGTCTTGATGCAATATTTACGAAAATATAATATTTATTTAATACTGTTGTTGTTGGATATTCAATACTGTAAAACAAATCAGATTAAAATTAGCCTGAAACATTCATTCATCGTGAAGTTGTTGTATTTCAGGACAAACAACAATATTCGCTAGATGAAACATAACAAAAAACTATTACGCATGCTCAACGATTAGTATTGTTTGTATCAAAACAACCAGTGCACGTGCGTTTTAAGGTAGAGATGCAGGTTCGTGGACACTTGGGAGTGATTTTTTTGTAGAAGTGTGATTAGTGAAACATACTCATAAGACGATTTTAAAATATAGAAAACAGAAACAAACATTCTCTCTTTTGAATGCTTAGCAAGATTTAGCAAGGCTGTACATAAATAATAAAAAAAGAAACAAGGTAAAAAAAGAAATGACGGGATCTCCATATTATGCACTATATTTAATAAAACGATAATACATTTAAATTTGAAACTGTTACAGCCATTTTAATTATGAACATTAGCAAACTTCTTACTGAGTGAATTATTATGCAAATTAGCAATTATCTCAGCTTCTTTTTATTGGACATACCAGAACTTTGTTTTGAAATTTTAACAATGTGTTCATCTTCAAAACGCCGTCGGGGCATTGTTTTTGGCTGAACAGTGTTACAACAATCATACAGACAACTAGCTTGGGTGTTAATTTATGCATAAACTTGAAGTAGTGAAATTAGAGCAGCTGTCCTGCAAAATTGACAACTGGTAGACAGTTTTCTTTATAATAAACAGATGTACTCACAAACAAATTTTGACAGGAAACAGAAGCATGGTTTAGAAGCTAATTTTTTGTAAATCACTTTTGACCAAAAAGTACATTTTTGTGCATATTTTAAAATTCATACAATAAGCTTTCCGAAAATATATAGTTTTGTGGACAATGGAGGTCATATTGGTTTTCTAATTAACTAATTAAAATACCTGTCAGGTAAACTGCATCTCTGCCTTAAAGAAATGTTTCATTCCATTGGACAAATACTACAATTTGTGATACAGTACCAGCGTGTTCATGTTATGATAAATCAAGAGTCGAACGTGTTCATCGACACAAATAATCGAACAACCATATTATAAATTACATCAGTAATAACACAGAAATGACAAAAACAGCACATTTTAGGTGTTTCAGTCATAATGTCTATTTCATTTAGTCATAACTATTTATGATCCAATAAAACGATTTGGGAATAAAAATTTTGTATCGTATGGTAAGTAGTAGGTAAGTTACAATCATGTATTCCGGCACGGTTACTAGAAGAACTGTTAGGAAACTCTATAGTTAGGTATGCTAATTGTATCCATTGAATTCTCTTCGATGTGTGTCCAACCACTATGACGTCATCGCCGAAAGATCGACGTAGACACATATCCGACTTCTGTGCGAATGTTCTGTAATGTTCAAGGTTTCGTTGTTCTCGAAAAAATGAAAACACCGATAGTTTGATTGGTTGACAGATTTGCCGTCTGTGAATTGAAATTGACAATGGTATTTTGTACACCTAAACTCTGTCTGCGAATGTTCAAAAATGTTAGTATTCGTTACTACATGGGTATTTTAATGTGGAACTGCGATTAGCATAACTATTTTCAAACATAACTTTAGAAAATAACGCTTTTTTATTGAGGTTGGCGAAGTCAGCCATTTTGTCTGCTTTTGTCATAGCAGTTCGGGAAAATTGTTGAAATATCGGATGAGATTATATTATATTTTTAGCAATTATAGTTTATATTTATAGTTTCAGTACAGCGATCCTAGGTCTACGTCTTTTGATGTCCAACATGGGGACGAAATTTTGTACCCCAAAAATACATTTCGGAACTTTTCTCAAGTTTATTTTGTACATTGAATTAGAATAGGTGAGTCTTTTATGAGAGATAGTTTAAACAATGTTAGTTTATTTTTCTCGAAATTTGCTGACATTTTTCAGATAGTAATGTCGGCCATCTTGTTTTTTCCCTATCGTGACACAGGAAGTTGTATGGTTTCATAGTGCAGTTTTATTCTGAATGTGTTTTCTTATTTCAGTGTTACAAATTTTGACAATGCTGTATGAATCGGGAAAATTTGTTAAAAAAGTACAGACAATCCCAATTGATGGATTTGTCTTCTGAACTAGGTATGCACTCCTTCGTTTTGTTAATATGTAAGTATGTATATACTACGTTAGTGACAGTTACAGCTAATAGGTATGCGCGTCATTATAATATTGTAAATGGCAGCTAATATTTCGCCGATTAATGTAGGTTGAATATTAACTGAATTATTTAGGTCGTTTTAATTGAGTCTTATTTTATCAAGATTTTAGGAATTAAAAAAAATAATGCGAGTAATGTTGTGAGCTAAGTCAGAAGGCTGCGTATGTGCATAATACAAATGAAAGTGACCCCCCAAAAAACATCCTAGAGTGAAATTTGTTTTTTACTTACGCAGTTACAAACATTCTTTGAAACGTTTTCTCTGATTTCAATTCACGAAGGATCATTTCAGTTAATCAATAATATAAACATTGACGTTTTAAATGTATACTTCCATCGATTGTTGCCAATGCAAATGAATCCCATAACGTAGCTACATTACTATTTTTTTCTAAGGAGATGTAATGGATGTATTACACTCGCAAAGTACGTCAAATGATCAATCGATTTTCTAGGATCTCGACGATAACAGGTAAGATGATAAGGTGTGAAAGCCGCCACGTGTTCAGGTGGAATCGGTTTTGGTCGCTGCTATATACACATCATGTATCTAACCTCTCTTAACCTTCGATTCTTCACGCTGAGTTCTATTATACTTGGCTGCTAAACACACCTGCTTCCCGCAAAACCATCGTTATTGGAAATACTTCACCAAAGAAGCCTTCAAGCAGGTCGTATGAGTGAATGTATTATTTGGTGAATAGGTAGACCTGCCGTTGACCGTCGTCTAATCAGTTTTATACCAGTTTCAGGTTCGATAATAACAATCGGATTCTGTCGCTTCGTATTTAAATATACTCTGTCCTTCCAAAGCTTTTGTTCTTGTTACAAGTCTCAGCTTGTATCTCACGAGACACCCATCTCCCTTGATTATTCGATGTGGCGGGAATGTTGAAAGTTATCTGATATCGAAGGTATACGTGCGTGCATTCGCACTGATTGCACAAATGACGACCCTACATCAGATTAAAAAGTAAGATACTGGCTACTGACCATTTTGTATTAAATTACTACAGTCTCATCGGTGCTTTTGTCGCCGT